TCTACCAGTCCTTCATCACCCTAAACGAAATTGGGTGAATACATCTCATATTACTTTTAGTTTCATAAGTAGCTTTAGAGACTCTCTATACATCTGATATAAAAGCAAGGCTATGCAAACGCCAAAGAAACAGTAGGCCTGCTGATATCATCGTGGGGAAACTCAACTATCAGTCTTTCTTCGAAATCCTCAATCGAAATAGGTTGGATACAGCTCTTAGTTGTGTGTGTGTGCTCTAGAAACCTCTTTTGACCGGTCTAGTCTGTATTGGAGGCGGTATTGTTTTATTATGAGTCATGAAATCACTTTAAGCCCCATAGGAAGACCAAGTTCTGATGCTCTCAAAAGCTGCTTATACAGAAACATTATAGTCACTTGATCGTGGAAACTTCACTTATCAGAACCCACCATACCGACTCGACGTGAGGCTTACCCGTCGTCAGCCCGTCGCCAACATCCCTTCGACAAACTGTACCTCTGTGCCTGCTGCCGGCACATCTCTTCACTTGGTCTCACCGCCAAGCCCTCCACCAAGTCCACTTCAGCCCGTCGGTCCTGCTGAAAACCGGCTCGTCGCCACACCGACGGATCGATATTCCATTTCACCACTTTTGGCTGCCGTCTTTGTTCCCTGTTTTGGTTGGCTCATAGTTATCGCGACCAGCGTCGCTTTAGCCGGTGACTTGAGCTCCGGCAGACCCGGTAGACGCATTTTGCCGACTGAAAAGTTGCAAAATAACAGGCGAACTGCGCATTTCACAGGCCCTTCCCCAAAGCTCCTTTGAGTGCACTTGTGGACCAGAGCAGACCATCTCCGGCACCGTCTTCCTGTGCGTGAGTGCAGCTATCTGCATGCTAGTGTACGTGTGTGTGTGTGTATTTGTGCTTTCGTGTTTATGCGCATCAGTGCGGCTTGTGGCCAACTGGACAGGGTACATCTGAGCCCTGGGTCAGTGCTGACTGGGTTAAGTGCAATCGGATGGATAGATGGGCAGAACGATGATGAGAGGGAGAGGGAGAGGGAGAGAGCGATGAGTGAGGGCAAGGATTGGATACGAAATAAGGGGTTCAACTGTGTGGAGGAAGCCCCACCTCTTCAGCCACTCATGAGCTCACTCCATTGCTCGCATGCCTCGGCGGCACAAACGACCTGGCGATCCACACCGTCTGACCAGCGGACAGGTGGGCAGACCGACAGGAATGTGGACAGTCGCGGCCGCCTGAACAGCCCACACGCGACCAGCGACATGGACGTGCGGACAGACGGACCAACGGAAAGGTGACAGGTGAAGGAGCAGGCAGAGCGTAGTCGGGGCAGGCAGTGAAGCGGGCCGCAACAGGAGACCGTCTCGGGCTGTCGGGCAGAGGCGGAGAATCGTCTTCTCCTAAAACGGTTTTTACCACTTCATATCGGGGCCGACCAGGCTGCCGGACAAACTGGCACGGGCTCTTACTGACCTGGTGTAGAGGCGACATGCCGAACCGTCCAACCCGCATGGCCGAGTCTGCCGGACCCTCGGCATCAGCGGCGACTGTGCCTCGACATGAAACCCGAGGGACGCAGAAGAAGCTTTGGGTATGTGTCGTCAGTCCTCTTTTAACTGCTCATGAATCTGCAATTATTTACTTTTGGTACAAGTTGGTGCCCATTCAAGAGGTACTGATTGTCTCGAAAATAAGTAACGTCGTCGATTACCATGTTTGCCTAATCAGCC